AATTTTGACTGGGTATGGTGGCTCACACCTATAATCCCAACACTTTGGAGTTGGGATTATGAGCCCAGGAATTTAAGATCAGCCTGGGCAATACTTTTATTAAAAAAAAAAAAAAAAAAAAAAAAAAAAGGCGTTTCATTCTAGCATGTAAAGAGCTTGGAAATCACTTCTACATTCAAACAAGTTAAAAGCTGAACAAACTGAAAAATCAACTCTTCTTTTTTTTTTTTTTTTTTTTTTTGAGACAAAGTCTTGCTCTATTGTCCAGACTGGAGTACAATGAAGTGATCTCTGCTCACCACAACCCCCACCTCCTGGGTTCAAGTGATTCTCCAGCCTCAGCCTCCTGAGTAGCTGGGATTACAGGCACGTGACATCATGCCCAGCCAATTTTTGTATTTTTAGTAAAGAAGGGGTTTCACCATCTTGGCCAGGCTAGTCTCGAACTCCTAACCTCAGGTGATCCACCCACCTAGGCCTCCCAAAGTGCTGGGATAACACACGTGAGCCACCGAGCCTAGCCTGAGAAATGTTCTATATTTCTACTGTCCAATACGGTAGCCACTAGACGCATTCAGCCATGGAGCACTTGAAATATGGCAAGTGTGACTGAGGAAATGACTATTCCATTTTATTTAATTTGAATTAATTTGAATGTATGGCCAGGTGTGGAGGCTCATGCCTATAATCCTAGCAGTCTGGGAGGTGGAGGCAGGCAGACTGCCTGAGCTCAGGAGTTCAAGACCAGCCTGGTCAATATGGTGAAACCTTGTCTCTACTAAAAATATGAAAACTTAGCCAGATGTGGTGGTGGGTGCCTGTGGTCCCAGCTACTTGGAAGGCTGAGGCAGGTGAACTGCTTGAACCCAGGAGGTGGAAGTTGCAATAAGCCGTGATGGAGCCACTGCACTCCAGCCTAGGCAACAGAGCAAGACTTCGTCTCCAAAAAACAAAAAAACCTAAAAATAAAAAGATAAGCTAAAAATACCAAAAAAAAAAAAAAAAATTCCCTGGGCATAGTGGCACATGCCTGTAATCCCAGCTACTCAGAAGGCTGAGGTAAGATAAATCGTTTGAACTGGGGAGGTGGAGGTTGCAGTGAGCCAAGATCACACCAATGCACTCCAGCCTGGGCAACAAGAGTGAAACTATGTCTCAAAAAAAAAGAAAGTTGTGGCCGCGTGCGGTGGCTCACACCTATAATCCCAGCATTTTGGGAGGCCGAGGCAGGTGGATCACGAGGTCAAGAGATCGAGACCATCCTGGTCAACAAGGTGAAACCCCATCTGTGCTAAAAATACAAAAATTAGCTGGGCATGGTGGCGCGTGCCTGTAGTCCCAGCTACTTGGGAGGCTGAGGCAGGAGAGTTGCTTGAACCCAGGAGGCGGAGGTTGCAGTGAGCCGAGATCACGCCATTGCACTCCAGCCTGGGTAACAAGAACAAAACTCCGTCTCAAAAAAAAAGTTGTATACTTAAAGTGTGTGTACTTTACTGTCTCTAACTTATGCAGCAACAACAACAAAAAAAAAAATAGCAAGGGACAGTAACATTCTTGCCTCCAAAATGTATAACTTTATATCATCTTAAATAAAAATTTTAAAGCAGAACATTTCCAATATGCATTAAAATATATAAATCTGAAAATATTGGGATACTGTCTAAAATTACTCCCTGTAGACCAAGAATTTAAGTACCACACTTTGGTTAATGCATTACAGGCACTCTGGGGTTTTATATAAGCTGGTGCTTGGATGCTGGCAACCTGGAGAAATGCAGAGGCCAAGGGGAAATTGTGTAGCTAGGATCCTGCTTTGTCACCAGCCTGGGCTGGGGTAACTGAATGCCAGTGCTCTGCTTCAAGGCACATGCCAGAAGCCTGGAGGGCAGGGAGGGAGATGAACTGAGAAAGGGGGCAAATAAAAAGGGCCAAGGGCAGATTTCCTGACACTCTGGCCCTTAGCCCAAGTCTTGGACTCCTGACCTCACCACAGACAAACTAGATGTAAAACAAGCCAATTGGTGTCCAAGTGGGAAGGGTGCCAGCCATTTTTGCTTCCCAAGGAATCAATAATACTCATTCTTATGATTCATGTTCATCCTGTTTTATTCCAAAGCACTTTACCGAAAAGCCCCTTGGCCCAGACAAAAAGCTCAGGGCCAGGAGCCAGAATACCTGGACTCCAGATCTGCATGTGGAAGATTTGGAACGTTCTTGGCGGGGGAGGTCCCAGGTTCTCTCACTGTAATGCCATCTGCAGAGGATTTCAGAGTTTTACATACATCATCTCATTTGACCTTCATCCTTGGTGAGAGAAGCAAAATAAATAGGATTGCTATTCTAACTTTACAGATATGTAAACTGAGATCAGGCAAGGTTAATAAGACACTCAGAGGCCGGGCATGGTGGCTCACGCCTGTAATCCCAACACTTTAGGAAGCCAAGGTGGGGGGATCACCTGAGGTCAGGAGTTTGAGACTAGCCTGGCCAACATGATAAAACCTGTCTCAAAAAAAAAAAAAAAAAAAAAAAATGACACTCAGATTCACACACTATTAAGAGGGAAACCTGGGACTTTTTATTCCAAACCCTTTGCTCTTTCCTACTCAAAACAATAAAATCAGTTTTATGCCTCACTTTTCCTTTTTTTACATATTATAATAGGGTGTGTGTGTGTAGAGGCAGGGTCTTGCTATGTTGTCTAAGCTAATCTCAAACTCCTGGGCTCAAGTGATCCTCTAGCCTCGGTCTCCGAAAGTGCTGGGATTACAGGTGTGAGCCTCGCCCACCAAGCCTCACTTTTAGCCCACTGTGAATCTGCACAAATTGCCCTGTGTATGTTCCAAGGGCCGACCTGGGTTTGTAGGGCCAGAAACATGTGCAATTCCTCCGTGAGGTGGAGGTGGTCGGTGGCTCTTTGACAAAAAAAATGCCAAATGATGAAAACAAAATTAAGTTCAGGGCCTTCACCAGGCCCTGCAAGTGAGGGGCCTAGAAGCTGAAATTTTATTAGCATCTAGTGGTATATCCGCTTCTTCTACATGCCAATGCCCTCAAAAAAAAAAAAAAAAAAAAAAAAAAAAAAGAACAGGACACACCACATCTTGACAGCATTTCCTTCCTGTTTGTGAAACGTGACAGAAGTGGGATGTGGAAGTCCTGGGAAAGGAATATCATTTCTCCCAGGAGACAAGAGGAATTACAGCAGCAGCGAGGCAGGCTGAGTGAAGGAGAAGGCTGCGTGCCAGGGGAGAGTAGAAAGGGGCTGGGTGACCCAGCTGGCCCAGATGCGGGCAGTAGAGTGTCGGTGTGGGAAACTGGTAGCCTGAGAGCCAGGAGCAATGGCGCTGCCCAGGAGCGGTGGCCCAGGCTGGAGGCTGGGCCTGTTGGAAGCAGGCTTCCTTCAGACGGCTTTCTGGCTCCCTGCGTCCGGATAACCTTTCCTCTGAGAAGGGGAGGCAAAGACAGACAACCACGGCCATGGCAGTGCAAGGGTGGGCGGTGGACCCCGTCCAGGCTTTTCATCACCCGCCTGCAGGATAGTGAACCGGGGGAAGTCTCGGTGGCGGTTGCCCCGCTGCCGCCCGGGCAGTGAGGCCGGGGTGCCGAGCTCCCCTCGCGGCTGCCCGCCGCCGCCGGGGGGCAGCGCCTGCGGCCTGCTTTCCCAGGGCTGGCCGAACCTTTTTGACAAACTGATTGCGTGGCGGGGATTGGCTGGTCGGGGCGTGACGCCGGTAACAACAAAGGTGGAGTTGGAAGAAATTAGATTAAAGGAGAGGAAAAAAATTAAAGGGGGAGCTGGCAGAGGACAGGAGGTAGAGACCGAGGGGGAGATTCGCGAAGCGGTGTCTCTCCCGGTTCCGACTACTCCACGCCCCAACCCCAGAAGATTCCTCGCACAAACCCACTGGGATTTTGCTCTTTCCCCCACCCCGGCCCAGTGGCCGATGCCTGGGTAGCAAGGATAGCCGCTGCTTCTTGAAAAATCCCGAAACTCCCACCCTGACACCCCTCACTACGAGCTAAGGAGAGAACTTTTTGCTCGGACTCCTCGGATCCTAAACCCAGCGAAGAGGGGAACATTGAGAAGCTCGTCCTAAAACCCGGAAGGCCCTCGCGGAGCACGGAGATCGGATAAGGCCGGGTGCTCCCATGGTTTTCCGATGTGTTGCAAATCTAAGAGCTTCTTTCTCGCTTTTTTTTTCCTGTAACTCCCCCCCCCCGCCCCATTTTGCTTCTGGGTTGCAAAAGCAAAGAGCAATAAAAAAAAAAAAAACGCGCACACACTCAGACACACACCAGTGGCGACATGGGAGAGAGTTGGAAAGACGCAGGAGAGAGAAGCAGGAGGCAGGAAGCAGCGGGGATGGAGCAATGGGAGCGGGAAGGAGGCAGGTTTTCTCGCAAATCCCCCTCCGGCCTCAAGCCGTCTCGCCAGCCCCGGCAGGGGAGCGAGGAGCCGGGCGAACAGATGGAGGAGTGGAGCTCGCTCTAGGCAGCTGGGCTTGGCCGGAGAATGGAGGAGCCACCAAGCGACCGGCTGATTGGAAGAGAAACGCAGAGCGATGGAGGCGGGGGTAGGAGGACGATTTCTCTGCGGGGACTGGCGGCGGCGTACACGCCCGGGTCGGGCGCTGCAGAGCTTGGCTGGCTTTCAAGCCGCGCTCGCCGGCTCCAGCTCCGTGCGCCCCCCACTACTAGCCCTCCCGGCGGCTCCGCAGGTGAGTGCGAGCTGGGGGCAGAAAGATCCAAAAGTCTCAACACGCCCGCCCTGCAAAAAAGAAAAAAAAAAAAAAAAAAAAAAAGGAAAGGAAAAAAAGCATTTTTCTTAAAAAAAAAAAAAAAAAATTTTCTGTGCAACCCCTAGAGCAGTGGGAGGGAAGGGGTGAGGCTGAGCAGCCCGGAGGAGGCGGAGGGGCCAGGCGAGGCCGCCGTGGCCCGGGAGGCGGCGGCGCCGAGGCGGCTCTGACGGGCAAGCGCTTGGAGCGGCGCTGCGCTGCGCCGAGGCGGGCGGGCGGGCGGGCGGAGCGGGGCGGGCGGAGCGCGGCGCGTGGGGCTCGCCATTAGCCGTCGCTCCGCTTCGCCATCTCGGGCTTTGTCTGGCGACTTGCTGCCCCGGCGTCGGCTGCAGCGGAGCTGCGGCTCGGCTATTCGGACCGCCGCGCCCCCAGGTGCCCCCAGCCCGCGCTCCCATCCACACGCTCGGTAAGTGAGCCCGGGCGCCGCGGATTTCGGGGGAGAGGGGTCGCTACGAGTGGCGGTGGCGCCGATCTCCATGCGCCCGGGCAGGCCTGGGGAGCCATGCCGGGCTGGATTGAACCGGCTCCCAGAGCGGCTTCTCCGCCGAAGCCCGTCGTTCCTTCGCCGTTTCCGGGGTGTAAAGAGCAATGGGGATTTTTTTTTTTTTAATGCAGAGGTTTTAGTTTTTTGTTTTTTTTTTTTTTTTAAGTTTCGTATGTGCCGTTCGGCAGTGAGGACCGCAAGGTAGGCACTGAAGCCGGGCGCCGCGATCGGCGTGCGTGCGCCCCAAGCCAGTGACCACGCTCTGGGGGATGAGGGTGTGCGCGGACCGCTCGCTCCGGGAGGCGGGAAAAAGCTGGCCTGGAAGCCCTAGTCTGAGCTGGGAGGACTTGGGGGAGAGCTCCGGAGCAGAGCTGTGGGCGCCCCCCGAGCCTCTCCAGCCGCCGGGGGCCCCTTTGGGCACCCTCTCCGCCGCCGCACCTCGGCCCTCCCTCTAGTGCCGGAGGAGCCTGTTAGTTCCCCCGCGGGTCTGGCGAAGTCGCTCTCGGCGCCCGCCCGCCCCGGCTCCGAGCTCCGCCGCCATCCGGGCGGCTGCGTGTCTCCCTGCCCCGGCCCCCCCCCCCGCCCGGCGGCAGCAGCAGCAGCAGCCGCCGCCGCCGCCGCCGCCGCCACCACCACCACCACCACCCCCCTCCCCTCCTTCCTTCCCTCCGCCTCGGCCGCCCGGGTCCCCCCAGCTCCCGCCCCTCCTCCCAGCTGCCCCCCGCGGAGCCCGCCCGGGCAGGCTGTGGGAGGGAGCGGAGCCGGCGAGGCGGGCGGGCTGGCGCTCGCTCCCCGGGGGTCGGTGTGCGCTCTACGGGGAAGGACGCGCTCGCTGCCCCGCTTCTCCCGCCCCCCCTCCCGCTCCTCCTCCTCCCTTCTCCCTCCTCCTCCCCGCTCCGGCGGCTGAGGCTGCGGCGGCGGCGGGGGGTGTGCGAGCTGAGGCCGGGGCCGGCGGCGGGCGGGCTGCCTGCAGGCGGAGGGCGCTGTGCTTTGTGCTTTTCGCCGCGAGGAGCAGCAGGCAGCAGCCACAGCCGCCGCCACAGCCACAGCAGCAGCAGCCGCCGCCCCAGCGCCGCCGCCTCGCCCGGAGGAGGAGCCGCTGCCGCCGCGGGAGGGAGCTGCGGCTGTGCCCGGCCGAGCGGGGGAGGGCGCCGCCGCTCAGAGCCGGGGAGGGAGCCGCCGGAGCGGGAAGCCCGGAGGCCGCTCTGCGCCGGGTAACCGAGGCGGCTGAGGACGCGCGCTAGGGTCGGGGCCTGACGGCAGGGAGCGAACCGCAGGGTGCGGTGGGCGCCCGGCTGGGAACCGGAGCAGGGGACCGGGCGCGAGCAGACCAGGGCACTGGGGAGGACGCCGAAAGCCGGGGGAGGGGAGGGCAGGAAGCGTGGCCCGAGCCGAGACCTGGCCGCTGGCGGAGGAGCCCGCGCTTCTCGGAGCCGGCAGGCGCAGTTCTCCCCGGCCGCCGGAGGGGGCGGCGGGGCCGGTGAGCGCTGCGCCCCCGCCTCCCGGCCGCCGTCCTCCCGCCCTCTGCTTGGCTCGGCTCCCCGGAGGCCAGGGCGGGGGCGCCGGCGGGGCTGGGCCGCAGGCTCGGGGGAGGAGGCGGCGGTTCCCGCCGCGGTCGCGCCTCTGCGCCGGGCTCCTCCGTGCGAGTCGGGGTGGCTGGGCGGCGGCGGCGCCTCTGGCCGGGGTAGGTGGCTCGGGGCGGGGGGCAGGCTAGGCCGCTTCTCTCCAGCTGCTCGCCCGCCTGAGCGGGCGGGGAAGGCGATGGGAGCCCGGGAGGGGGGAGCGGTGGGAATCCGAATCCGGTCCCCGGGGGCGGTGCGGCCGTTGCGCTCCGGGGCTGGCGGCGGCTGCGCTGCGTCCGGGTCCCCGCCGGGTTGCGGAGGCGGGGGGAACCGGCCGGGGGGAGGCGAGAGGAGGAGACTGGGGCGCGTGCCCGCTTCCGTGGTCGCGCGCGCCCTTTACCCGCCCTTCCTCCTCCCCCGCCCTCCAGCCTGGGGCCTCCCCGGGGCGGGCGCTCAGAGGAGGAGGAGTTTTTTTTGGCCAGGGTTGGGGAAGGAGGGCGGAGGGCGGGCGCTTGCTGCACGCGGGAGCTGGGAGCAGGCTCTCGCGTGGGCAGAGGAGGGCGCGCGCCGCGGAGCTGGGCTGCAGGGTTTGGGGGAGGGGGTCAGGAAGCAGAGGAGGGGCTCACTCCCACTCCCACAGACCCTTTAAATCCAGTAAGGTCATGGTTGGGACTCTGAGAGTGTGGACCTGCCCCTCTCCACTCTGGGAGGGGAGGGATAGAAAGTCATTCACCTCTTACCCTGCCTGAGTGGGAACTGGTATGTCTTCCAAAGGGTGAGGTGGTTTTGACCCCGGGTTGCCCGGCCAGCACGACCAAGGAGGTGGCTGGACAGCTGGAGGATGAACGGAGAAGCCGACTGCCCCACAGACCTGGAAATGGCCGCTCCCAAAGGCCAAGGTAGGGGCATTCATCCCCAGCCCTCTGAAAGTTAAATCCTCTTTTTCTCATGGCTGCGGGGCTCACTCCCTTCTCAAGGGCTTCTCCATACTCTGAACTGGGCAAGAAAGTGCCTTAAGTATTGATGAATCAAGCATCTCCCACACTTGAGGTGTGGTTGAATTCAAATTATTTGGCCTGGAATGGCTCACTTCTCCTGTCCCTCATCCCCTGAGTTTGAGGCGGCATGCCTTCTGGGGTCCCATTCAGCCTGAAGTGTGTCCCGTCTCAGTGTCCTGGGATGGGAGGAAGAATGAGTGTAGAGGAAGGGGCTGGGGAAGTCGTCTCAGGGTTTTTATTAAGACGATGAGGCTTTTATAGAGATAGGTGGAGAAAAGAGGTGTTTTAAGGCCCCAAGCCATGGGCTATATGTACTCACCTAGACCTCTGCCTCACTCACCAGTGATCAAGTCTGTATGGGGCTGGAAGGTAGGATGAAGCTGGGCAGCTGGCCATGCTTGGGGGATATTGAAGGGAGAGGGGATTATGGGTCCATGTGACCTGCTCTGCAGAAACCCTGGCCCAGGTTAGGAGATGCAAATGAAAATGGAGAGGAGCCCTTTTGACTTTTGGCCTTGGGTGGCTATTCTCCCAGCCCATCCGCAGAAGCCTAGAGTGCTCTCTGGAGCTGCATTTCCGTGGCTGAAAATAGCTAGTCCAGACCTGGTCTTGCTTCCCTGGGGAGTTGGGCTGACAACACAGCTTGTTATTCTGGGGGTTCTCCCTGGAGCAGGGCCCTGAGAGCTTTTGTGCACCTGCCTCCCTTACCTCAGAGCTGCTCTGTATGCTGCTTCTGTTTCTGTTCCCTTTTTCTTGTTTGCCAGAAATTCTTCCTTGATCTACGCTGAGGGGCCTGGGGGTGGAGGTGTCTCTAACACTGGTTTCCATCTGTGCAGCGCAGACATCTGCATGGGTTTTCCTTACTGCCCACACCCCCTTCTCAGTCCTTGCATATTTAGGGTATCCTAAACTCGGAACTTGAGCTTGGCCACACATTTAGGTATATTGCCTCCCTGCTTCCCACCTTCTCTGACAAGCTACCTGTTTCCCACAAAGCCCTGAATCACTATACCTTCATACCCACTCCTCTTCCCTTACAATAAATAGCTGCTGGTAGCAGCCTGGCACGGGAGAAATGATAATAACTTTGAAGCAAGCCAGACTTGTGTTCAAGCCTTGCTTTTTTTTTTTTTGAGACGGAGTTTCATTCTTGTTGCCCACGCTGGAGTGCAATGGTACCATCTCCACTCACTGCAACCTACACCTCCCAGGTTCAAGTGATTCTCCTGCCTCAGACTCATGAGTAGCTGGGATTACAGGCGTGTGCCACCATACCCAGCTAATTTTTGGGTTTTTAGTAGAGACAGGGTTTCACCATGTTTGCCAGTCAAACCTAGCTTTCTAGGTATGGCATGTTCTGGACTGGAGTCCCTGCCTTGATCCAATATGGCCACAGTTGGCTTAGAACTGAGTTACGTTTTATCTCTGCCTTCAGATGGGAAGCAACCAGGGGCTGGGATTTCCTAGGGAAAAAGGGTTGAGCACTCAATAACTGGGGAACAGAATAGGGGGATAGCATGAGCCAGGTACGATGGCCTCTGTTACCCTTCACCAGATCGCTGGTCCCAGGAAGACATGCTGACTTTGCTGGAATGCATGAAGAACAATCTTCCATCCAATGACAGCTCCAAGTTCAAAACCACCGAATCACATATGGACTGGGAAAAAGTAGCATTTAAGGACTTTTCTGGAGACATGTGCAAGCTCAAATGGGTGGAGATTTCTAACGAGGTAACTGATCCCCTTCCTGACACACATGTATACACATCTCCACATACACCTACCTCAGCTGTGGTGGGGGGAAGTGAAACAGCCAGCTGTAAACAGGAAGGAAAGAGACCAGGAGAGGTGTTTGTGTGGTCGCCTGCTAGCTCTCTACCTGCCCTTGTGCACTTTGGGAGGTGGTGTGGTTGACAGCACTGGCTTAGAGTTACGCCACTTTCTATCGGTCTTGAGCCAAACAGCCTGAGCTGTGCTGAGATTGAAGGAGGTGCTGGCATGGAGAGCCAGGTAGAGGTCATGTCGTCCGCTTGTTGCTGGCCTTTGGTGTGCACTGACTGCCTGGGCCTCTGCAGTAGGCATGGGCCAGGGCCTGGGTGTCATGCTGCCTGCTTCATTTGGCTGTTGGCCTCTGCTCTTTGGTAACTTTAGTCCAGTGAAGAGTAGAAGAGACCCGTTTCAGGATGGGAGTACCCGTGGTAAGATAGGGATATGCTACTGTGTGGCATTTTCCTTTTCTCAACTTCCCCTCCTTTCCTCTCCTCTTCCTCCAGGTGAGGAAGTTCCGTACATTGACAGAATTGATCCTTGATGCCCAGGAACACGTGAAAAATCCTTACAAAGGCAAAAAACTCAAGGTGAGTTACTAGAAAGAGGCGCATGAGGGGTAGGGGAGGAAAGGTCCAAATAACAGATGGTATATGACCTCCATTATGTCCTTGTCCCTCCTTCCAGAAACACCCAGACTTCCCAAAGAAGCCCCTGACCCCTTATTTCCGCTTCTTCATGGAGAAGCGGGCCAAATATGCGAAACTCCACCCTGAGATGAGCAACCTGGACCTAACCAAGATTCTGTCCAAGAAATACAAGGAGCTTCCAGAGAAGAAGAAGGTGGGGGGAGGAGAGCTAAGGTGGGAGGAGGGGAGAGGCTGGGAGCAGCTGGGGTGGTGTGGGTCAGTTGGAGGTAGGCCTTGGAGGGACCTGGCATCGGGGACAGGTGAGTCAGCACAGCAGAGTAGGTCCTGGGCAGTCACACCTGATTGCCCCTTCCTCAGCCCACAAGTGGTCAGGCATGGGCACCGTCACAGACGTAAACCAGACAGCAGGTGCTCAGGCCAACCTTTCCCCCTGTAGAAAACCCACAGTGTTTTGTTTTATAAGGCTCTCCCCCATCCACCCATCCTCACTGTCAGGCTGCACAGCACTTCTTCCCTCTCTGTGACGCTTCCTGTCATGGTCTCATTTGATACTTGCAGTGTTTTCGAAAAGGAAACCCAGGAAAATGTTATCCCAGTTTTGTGTGCAGGAGGGTTACGTGGCCTGAGTGACACAACTGTTAATGCTATAGCAGGATAGTGTCCCAGAGTCCCAGCCAGTGCTCTTACTGCCACGTCCACCTGTGAAGTACACCTCTCCACACACACACATGTTCACTCAAGGACACACATTGCCCCTCCTGGCCTCATGCTCTTCCTTGCAGAGGTCGGGCACTGTCTCAGACCATCAAAGCATTAACCCTGAGCAGGGGGTTGCCCAAGCCTCCCAGGCAGGGCTAGAAGCAGTCACACACACAGCTCAGGGGTTCCCTCCTAGAGATAGGCAGCAAAACACTGGAGGAGCCTGCAGATAGGACACGAGAAACATGGGATGGGGAGAGAGGACCCAAGGAAGAGACATTGGATGAGGAGACAGCCAGGGATAGATGGGAATGACAGCAGGAAAAACAAGAAGCACATCTGCTTGGCAAGGAAACAAAGTCATACACAGCCAGTTCTCAAAAGATGACGCTGGCAGCCACCACGCTGTGAGTAGCCCTCTTTCCTGGTTGGCATACCCTCGCTGCGGATTCACATGCGCATGGTGCTGTACCCAAAAAGAAGCCAGCTGTCTGCAACCTCTGCCCAAGCAGAGCAGGGGTATGGAGTGCTGGAACTGTTCTTGGCCCTTTTGATGAGGATGTTGGACAGTTGACCACACATACCCAAATACTCTCATGGGATGGGAGGGAGAGGCCAAGAGTCTGAGAGCCAGGGAAAGCCAGAAGAAACCGGTAGAGTGGACGAGGTGCTGGCCTGGGGGACACAAGACTTGGGCCTGTTCTCCTGGCTCTGAACTCGCTGTGTATGGGGTCTTTGGTAAGTCACTCCGCTTCTCTGGGCCTGGTCTTTATGTGAGGTGAGCCAGGTCTGTGTGGTGCCCTCCAGCTCTGAAACTATTTTGTGAGGAGGACTGAGCTTGGGGAAGAGGAGGCTGAGCTCTGCTTCTGGTTTTCTGTGAGAACTGGAGGGAAAGGTGCTGCCTCTCTATGCCTGGTGCTTCTCTAAGAGGCAGGGGTTGGGCTTAATTGCCATGAGCTCCTGGCACCTTCCAGTGCCACTCTTGTGAGCCTATGAAGGCAAAAGAAGAGATAGACATTATGTGGGAGCCAAGAAAGGAGGTAGATATGGAATAAAAAAAGACGGATTACAAGAGGGAGGCCATGGAGAGGTGGGCAAGGATGCAGGGAGGGAGGGAGGTGGGGGTGGGAAGGGGGTGAGGCTGAAAAGGGGGTGATGAAGGGAAGTCAAGTGGTGGGAGAGAATGAGTGGGCTGAGGGAGGGAGGGAGGGTTGGAGGATCCAGACAGCTGGGATCCTGGAGAAAGGGAGGAAGGTGATGGTGTCAGAACTGGACAGGAAGGCGCAGGGCTCCTGGCCGTGGCTTGTATTGTAAGAACTCTGGGTTTCCCTCCACACAGTAGTCTCCTCTCATACTTTGGAAACAGGACTCAGCCCAGCCCTGGTCCTATGTAGAGGCCACCTCCAGGGGTACAGGCTAATGTCAGCTGCCACAGACAATAAGAGAGTGATGGGAGCAGGGCCTGCACCTGACTCCACTGGGTATTTTGTGGTGGTGGAGAAATGGGTGGGGGAGCGCCAGCACTGCCACTGCGTACTGCATGACTGGGTAATGCCACGGCCCCCTTCTCTGACTCTCCCTTGCAAGGAGAGAATAGGATGTAGGATTTAATGTCTGGGTGACCCCTGCAGCTCCCACCATCTGTAGTAGAAGCCAGCAGGTCTCCTCTGTGATGAGTCCCGCGGGGAGGTGGGCAGGGTGCCAGCCTCCACCCCTGCACCACAGCATAGGAGGCCGCAGAGAGCGCACAAGGAGGGGTCTGGGTGGCTTTCTTAGCTCAGGGTGAGATATCCTTGGGTCCTGGGTGACCCCATCCCCTCCTCCCCTCAGATGAAATATATTCAGGACTTCCAGAGGGAGAAACAGGAGTTCGAGCGAAACCTGGCCCGATTCAGGTAAGGCAGTGGAGCCCAGAGGAGGGCTACGGGCACTGGGTACAGCTGAATAGGCTAACCCTGGCCAGAGCCTGGAGTTTGCCGTCTCTGAGGCATGGAAGAAGGATGGGTCACATGTGAGCCCTAGTGTGTCATGCTCAGAGGGGCAGGGACAGTCAGGCAGCCACCGTCCCACTGAGCCACAGCTGAAAGGCCAAGGAGGCTTGGTGGGTGGGGCAGCTAGCTTGGGTCTGCCCTGGCAGCATCCCCTGCTGATCCTTGCTCCCCATGTCCTGGCTAGGGAGGATCACCCTGACCTAATCCAGAATGCCAAGAAATCGGACATCCCAGAGAAGCCCAAAACCCCCCAGCAGCTGTGGTACACCCACGAGAAGAAGGTGTATCTCAAAGTGCGGCCAGATGTGAGTGTCCGGCCAAGGGTTGGGGGTGGAGGATGCACGGTGGTGGCCAGGGGGGAGCCGCGCCAGGTCGGCTGGGCACGGTGCAGGGGAGCAGGAGAGGAGGCCCCTCCCCAAGGGTGGGCTGCATGGACAGGGCCTGGGCCAGCTGGCGTGCGAGCGTGTGCGTGCGTGCGTGCGTGTGTGAGCCAGTCCCCTTGTACCCAGGCGGGATCCCCGCCTCTCCACCTTCCCCTCCTGGCCTGTGGGGGACACTGATGTGACCTCCCATGGCCTGAGGGGGCGGGGGCCTCTGTGCCCCCTTCCCCCCCCCCCCACTCCTGGCTGCTTGTGCGTGTCTGACGGCTTTTGGTTTGCAGGCCACTACGAAGGAGGTGAAGGACTCCCTGGGGAAGCAGTGGTCTCAGCTCTCGGACAAAAAGAGGCTGAAATGGATTCATAAGGCCCTGGAGCAGCGGAAGGAGTACGAGGTTAGGCTTCCGCTGCGCTCCTCCCCGTCCGGCTCTTCACGAGCCTCTGCCCTTCGACTCCGTGGCCACCGCACTCTGCGGAAGGTGTCACTCCCCATTCCTCTTTTGAGGGAGGGGCCTTCTGGGCCCCTTGCCTCTGCCCCTACCTTCCCCACCCCCCGCCCCATGAGATCTCAGGCTAGGGCAGGGCAGGGCACCACGTCTCGTGTGACACTGCTGACACACAGCCACCCCCAGCTTTGCTCCCTGCCTGCCCTCCCCAGCGGCTCTCCCCCTACCCCTGCCCCAGCTAACTCCACACCACGTTGCCCTCCGTCCCCCCACCTGGCTCTGCAGGAGATCATGAGAGACTATATCCAGAAGCACCCCGAGCTGAATATCAGTGAAGAGGGTATCACCAAGTCCACCCTTACCAAGGCCGAACGCCAGCTCAAGGACAAGTTTGACGGGCGACCCACCAAGCCACCTCCGTGAGCGCTGCCCTGGGGTGGGTGGGCGAGTGGGTAGCTGGGGAGTTGGGTCGGACTCTGTGGGCGAGGAGGCCTGCCGCCCTGCTCACTCACGGGCTGCACCTCTCCCCCCACGGCTCCGATAGGAACAGCTACTCGCTGTACTGCGCAGAGCTCATGGCCAACATGAAGGACGTGCCCAGCACAGAGCGCATGGTGCTGTGCAGCCAGCAGTGGAAGCTGCTGTCCCAGAAGGAGAAGGATGCCTATCACAAGAAGTGTGACCAGGTGAGCTGTGGCAGGGGCCGTCCTGCCTTGGGGTTTTGAAGCATGAGGTCTGACCCCAGCTTGGGCCAGTCAGTTCTTGGTGGCATATACCTCAGGTACCTGCTTCCATTTGGGTGTTGGGCTGGGCTGGGCTGGGCTCAGAGCTGAGCCCATCCAGGCAGGGAGTCCAGCCCACACCCAGGCTCTGGAGGCCCATTGAAGGTCACTGTCCTCCGAGTACTGCAGGGTCTCTGGTGACGCTGTCTCCAGACTGATCCTGACTCCACTCACTTTCCCAGAAAAAGAAAGATTACGAGGTGGAGCTGCTCCGTTTCCTCGAGGTGAGTGTTCCTCCAGTAGGGCACTGGGCAGAGAGGACTGGGGCTTGGCAGGCAGAGCCCTAGTGAGCCCCTGGGGATAGGGCACCATTCAGCCCTATAGGGCATGGTGCCAGCCATGCAGCCCCATGCTCTTCTCTCCTGCCCAGAGCCTGCCCGAGGAGGAGCAGCAGCGGGTCCTGGGGGAGGAGAAGATGCTGAACATCAACAAGAAGCCAGCCACCAGCCCTGCCTCCAAGAAGCCAGCCCAGGAAGGGGGCAAGGTGGGCAGGGGGCACGGCCATGCAGGCGGGGGTGGGCAAGACGGCTCGCTGGCAGCACCCACGGACCCTGACCTTCTTCACCTGGACAGGGCGGCTCTGAGAAGCCCAAGCGGCCAGTTTCGGCCATGTTCATCTTCTCCGAGGAGAAGCGGAGGCAGCTGCAGGAGGAGCGGCCTGAGCTCTCAGAGAGCGAGCTGACCCGCCTGCTGGCCCGAATGTGGAACGACCTGTCTGAGAAGAAGAAGGTCAGCCTGCCTGGCAGAGAGCCGCTGCCCCCAGGGGGCCTGCCAGGGCCCATCTTCCCCTCGGCGGTCCGTGCCACCTGGCCGCCTGGGCCTCGCGGTGCCTGGGCTGGGATGTGGGGCCGGCGCCCAGCAGCCGGAAGGCGGGAAGCTGTCAGCTGAGCGCCACGGGCCAGGTCGGGGCGAGCCCTGGGCTGGAGACAACTGCACCAGCCCACCGCTCTGCCCGCCCCGCGGGTGCGCCTCGGCTGCTGCACGGGGAACGCGCGCCCCCTAGGGGTGGACCGAAGGCTGACGTCCCGGCCCTCCCCGTAGGCCAAGTACAAGGCCCGGGAGGCGGCGCTCAAGGCACAGTCGGAGAGGAAGCCTGGCGGGGAGCGTGAGGAACGGGGTAAGCTGCCTGAGTCCCCCAAGAGAGCTGAGGAGATCTGGCAACAGAGCGTCATTGGCGACTACCTGGCCCGCTTCAAGGTAACAGGGGTGGGACAGGACAGTACTTCAGCCTTTAGCCCCTGGTGACCCCACGGCTGATACCCTTATCCTTCCCCAGAATGACCGGGTGAAGGCCTTGAAAGCCATGGAAATGACCTGGAATAACATGGAGAAGAAGGAGAAACTGATGTGGATTAAGAAGGCAGCCGAAGACCAAAAGCGATACGAGGTAGTAATGGGGTTGGGGCCACCCCATTCACTAAAAGCTTGGGGGCTCCCCTTTGGGTGGGCAACTCTGAGCCAGAAGGCCTAGCCTTGATCTGTTACCCTTAGCAAGGCTCAGCTTCCTTCTCTGAACCCATGTCTCTCAATGCTAGCCCCCAGGCTGACTCAGGAGGCACAGTTGTAAACTGTGGTGCCTGCCAGAGACCTGAGTTGTTAGGAAGTTGCTCACTAGTTGTGCCTGTTTCTTCTCCTCCCCGGCACAGAAAAGACAGAGGCCGGGCACGGTGGCTCACGACTATAATCCCAGTACTTTGGGAGGCCCAGATGGGTGGATCACAAGGTCAGGAGATCGAGACCATCCTGGCCAACATGGTGAAACCCCATCTCTACTAGAAATACAAAAATTAGCCGGGCATGGTGGCGTGCACCTGTAATCCCAGCTACCCGGGAGGTTGAGGCAGAAGAATCACTTGAACCCGGGAGGTGGAGGTTGCAGTGAGCCAGGATCATGCCACTGCACTCCAGCCTGGGTGACAGAGCGAGACTCCCATCTCAAAGAAAAAACAGCCAGCCAAGGTGCTGATGGCATGGGGCAGAAGGCAGCAGTATTTTGGGGGTGGGACTGGGGTTGAGTGTGACCTTTCTCCCTCCAGAGAGAGCTAAGTGAGATGCGGGCACCTCCAGCTGCTACAAATTCTTCCAAGAAGATGAAATTCCAGGGAGAACCTAAGAAGCCTCCCATGTGAGCCTGGGGGTTGGATCCTGCCCTGGGGGTGGGGGACGGTCAGAGCTGGAGGACTGCTTTGTTGGGGTCCTGACCCTCCTTGTATCACCCCCACCTCCCAGGAACGGTTACCAGAAGTTTTCCCAGGAACTGCTGTCCAATGGGGAGCTGAACCACCTGCCACTGAAGGAGCGCATGGTAGAGATCGGCAGCCGCTGGCAGCGCATCTCCCAGAGCCAGAAGGAGCACTACAAAAAGCTAGCCGAGGAGCAGCAAAAGCAGTACAAGGTGCACCTGGACCTCTGGGTCAAGGTGAGAGGGCAAGGGACCCTTGGAAGGAAGAGGGAGGCATCGTGCTGGCTGGTCTCATGATTTCATTCCATGCCCTCACAGTCCTGCAGGATAACCATTACTATTACCCTTTTATTTTTATTTTCTGAGACAAGAGTCTAACTCTCTCACCTAGGCTGGAGTGCAGTGGTGTGATCTCAGCTCACTGGAACCTCCACCTCCCAGGTTTAAGCAATTCTCCTTCCTCAGCTTCCAGAGTAGCTGGGGCTACAGGCGTATACCACCACACCCGGCTAATTTTTGTATTTTTAGTAGAGACAGGGTTTCACCATGTTGGCCAGGCTGGTCTCGAACTGCTGATCTGCCCACCTTGGCCTCCCAAAGCACTAGGATTACAGGCTCAAGCCACTGTACCCGGCCACCATCACCCTTTTAAAAATAAGGAAACCAAGGTTCAGAGAGGTTAAGTAACTTGCCCAAGGTCACACAGCAAGTAGAAGAATCCAAATCAGATTGCCTCCCCCATCCGGGACTACAGGGCCTCTCCTAGACTTCTGGCCTTTATGCTTCCCAACTCTGTGCTTTGGTAGTCAGATCTGTAAAGTGGAGAGAATCACCTGTGTCCTTCCCAGTCACCAGGACAAGTTAGCCAAGGACCCAGGAAGATTGTGGGGATTTGCTGTTTCAGGAGTTTGACGAGCTCCACTGCCTCATCGGTAGCTCAAGGGTTTGGTGTTGGGGTGTGGTTGATGATGCCAAGCTGACTCATCATGGGGGCACTTCCTTGAAGTGAGGAAGACTCTGGTAGGAGCGTCCATTTGCGTAGAGCAATGGGGAGAATGTTTAGAGAAGGACTCAGCATCAAAAGCAGAAATATTAGAGCTTGGGCCAGTGCAGTGGCTCATGCCTGTAATCCTAGCACTTTGGGAGGCTGAGGTGCGAAGGATCACTTGAGGCCAGGAGTTCAAGACCATCCTGGACAACATAGCGAGACCCCTGTCTCTACAAAAAATTTAAAGTTATCCTGGTGTGGTGGTACATGCCTATAGTCTCAGCTACTCTGGAGGCTGAGTTGAAAGGATCACTTGAGCCTGGGAAGGTCAAGGCTGCAGTGAGCTGAGATTGTGCCATTGCACTCCAGCCTGGGTGACAGAGCAAGACCCTGTTTTAAAAAAAAAAAGGATTGGAGCTGTGTTCTCAGTTCCCAGGGGCTTTCTGCAGAAACCCAGAGTCTAGGGAGCCTGGGAGGGTGAGGTGGGGTGATGATATGTAAATGCTCAGCCCACTGCCCCAGCGCTGGGCCAGGATGCTCAGTCAGCAGTGGTTGGCTGTGTTCCAACCCTTGTCACCTCTGTCTCTCCCAGAGCCTGTCCCCCCAGGACCGTGCAGCATATAAAGAGTACATCTCCAATGTGAGTCTGGGAGCAGAGCAACAGTGGGGTAGGGGTAGGGGTGGGGGGATTCAGGGATACCTGGAACTCATAGCTGCCACCTTCATGTCCCCATCCTGCAGAAACGTAAGAGTATGACCAAGCTGCGAGGCCCAAACCCCAAATCCAGCCGGACTACTCTGCAGTCCAAATCGGTAAGGAGCCCCCCAGATATGAGGGTGTGGGGGGTGGGGGGCTGCCAAAGTGGCTAGGCAGAGACCAGAGAACACTGATGTGCCTCTGTCCATCCAAGGAGTCCGAGGAGGATGATGAAGAGGATGAGGATGATGAGGATGAGGATGAAGAAGAGGAAGATGATGATAATGGGGACTCCTCTGAAGATGGCGGCGACTCCTCCGAGTCCAGCAGCGAGGACGAGAGCGAGGATGGGGATGAGGTACATAGCATGGGGCAGACGGGGCACAGTGGGAAGGCAGGGGAGTCCTGCCAGGAGGGCCACCTGGGGACCCTGTGCATCCTTTCTCACCCCCCAGAATGAGGAGGATGATGAGGACGAAGATGATGATGAGGATGATGACGAGGATGAAGACAATGAGTCCGAGGGCAGCAGCTCCAGCTCCTCCTCCTCAGGAGACTCCTCAGACTCTGACTCCAACTGAGGCTCAGCCCCACCCCAGGGCAGCCAGGGAGAGCCCAGGAGCTCCCCTCCCCAACTGACCACCTTTGTTTCTCCCCCATGTACTGTCCCCTGGCCTCCCCCACTTTCTTTCTTTCTTTAAAAAAAAAAAAAAACAAAAAACGGTGGGGGTAAGGGGCTGGAGGAGCCCAGGCCGGGACTCTGCAGCCTCAGAGACATCAGCCCTCGGGGGTCCTCCTCCAGGGACAGCAACCATCAGACTAAGCCAGCACCGGCCTGACCCAGCCCACCCCACCCACTTCTGCACTTGCAGTTCCGGCATGGACAATGGACCGGAGAGTGGGGGTGGGGGTCCCAAAGAGTTAGATGAGGCCCTCCACACCTGCGGCCCAACCCAAGGTGGGGTGGAAGCTTGAGGAGGACCCATTCCTTCCCAGAGGGGCCTGCCGACTGGACCTCTGCATTGGAACTGGAGGCAGGGAATGTGGGGAGAGGAGGGCCAGTGCCTTCAAGAAAACAGGCGCTGCCCTGGTGGCCCTCTCCCCTGCCCCCGGCAGGAAGGAGCTGCCTTGACCCACTCATGGGGGAGGGGGCAGAGTGTTTTTTATATATGTGTATATATTTTTTTTTAAGCTCTGAGCTGTCAACGAGACGTTTCCTACCGATCTCGGCTGCCGTCTCTGTTGTCATTTCTGGGAGAGGGAGGGTTTAGGGGGTAGGTTTGGAACTTTTTAAAAATGGTCTTGATGTGTGGGGGAGAGAGAGAGAGTGCGTGTGTGTGTGTGTGTGTGTGTTCCTGTACATAGCATGGGTGCAGCTGTGGATGTGCTTGAGAGAGAGTGTGTGTTTGTGTGTGTAAGGGGGTCTGTCCTAGAGCCCACCTCCGTTTGTTGTGAATCTGGAAAAAGGGTCAGTGAGAGCCGGGAGATGTTGACCCTGGTGAGAGCAGGCTGGGGCTGCCCTGTTCTCCACATCCTCTGTTTTGCCCAGTCTCTGATTCTATTAGGGGGAGTGTGCTCAGATGCTTCCCAGACCAGGCTCCCTCTGTCACGGTCACATGCATCCAAGCTGCTGGTCTCCTTTGTCCAGCAGGAAGGCGGAAAGATGGGCAAGATGGTGTGAAGCTTAAAGCTTGTATTTGGTCGTCTGAGGGGCCAAGCCTGGCCACCTTAGGCTCAGAACCTTGGCTTCAAGAAATGTGCTGGGAGCTCCTAACTTACACATCCCTCCAGCCTTCCTCGAATCCTCCTACCACCCCCTATTTCCTTTCATTTCTCAGGTCTGCTCCTTCCTCCCCCAACCCCACAGCTGGGCAAGAAGTGTGCAAAAGCTGCTTCTGCAGCTGTCTCTAACCCTTCCCAGCCATCTCCCAGATTTTTTGGTACATTGATTCCTTGACTCTTAATAAGCCAAGCCACCATATCTCTGTAGTTGTAATTTTTTTGATTGACTATATTGGGGGGGGGTGTTCTTTTTTTTATGATCACGTCAATGACCTATTAAATTGGGGCTTGGTGCTCTTCCACCTCCCCCTCTAAATGAAAGCCAAGGAATGGGGGAAGAACGGGAACTTTGTCGAGGAGGTGGGGCAGGAACGGTGAAGGAACGGAGAGGCTGGTGGGTCCCTCTCCCAAAGGTAGGCAGACAATCTCTGCTTTACCTTGGACCTTGGTGCTGGGGGTGAGGAGGCCTGGGGGGGACACTCCCCACTCCCATTCCCCTTCCTTTATCCTAATCCTGGAATTAAGTACAGGGGTTTATAGGTTCTATTTCTTCCCAAGAGCCCTGCAAAGAACCCCAGTTTCTTATTTGGATGCCCCTACACTGTTGTGTTCCAGTGGAATGTATTTTCATTTAAAAACAACTTTGGGGCACTTTTTCTTTCCTGTTTTAAAAATTGAAAAATTCTTACAGTACAAACAGGGCTGTCCGGGTGGGGCGTCGGTGCTGTAAGAGGTCTCTTGAGTGCATTTTGGCACTAGGATGGGATCGCTGGGGTGGGAAGACCCCCGTCCCTTCCTCCACTTTTTTTCTAATATTTAAGGAGTGTTTTGTAGGTTTCAACAACAACCACAACTTGAATTTGTATCATGGGAGGTGGGAGGGAATGGCTTAGAAGTGTCTGCCTATGCTTAAGGCCAACTGTGGAAGTTTTGTTTTCCCTTTTTTGTATAATAAAGTGAAAAACAAAGGTTTGACTGCTGTCTGGTCACTGGAATCCATGAAGGTGGTGTAGTCCACAAGTGTGACCCAACAGGTTTGATAAATAAAAATGCTTGAAGCCAATGTGCCCTTTCTTTCTAGAACTATCTTCCTCTTTCCTAAAGATTCCATAGGCAACCTACCTTCACATTGTTCTGTGCTACTGTTCTTGCCCTTTCCTCAATTCCATTTGTTCACCCTGGGTTGTCAGACCACTAAAGACTGAGCAGTTGGAGAACAAATGCATTTTCACCCAGAGTACATGGTCTTGGCAAATTGGAGGTCAAGGGTTCGCCCTGGGCACGCAAGCCTTCCTAGTGCAGGGTGTATCGCCTAGTTGAGGTGGTACTTTCCCACTTTGAGTCTTCAGTTCCACCCGGGGTTAAGGGTTGAGGATGACATTCCTAAGAACATCTAGGCCTCTGATGGGAAGTGGGCTGGGCTGGACTGAGATGACTCACTCTTTGAGATTAAGGAAGACATCCTACCCTATGCAGGCCTTGGCTGGGTTCCTGGAACCTCAAAGGGCTGCAGACCCAGGCCCTGTCCAAGAGCTCTCTCCCAACCCTCACCCCTATTTTATACTGGTCAAACTTCTAAAAAGCTTACTGTGTCTCTTGGCCTCCCACTTAACCACCATTCTCCGAGGCTCCTCAATAAGATCACCAACATGTTCATTACATCTGGTGAACACTTGTCTGTCTTTGCCTTCTTGGTCTATTCTGCTGGTGTCAGCTCTTCCTCATTTCATCCTGGGTGTTCATGTCTCTCCCCCTTCAACTTCCCATTATCACCCATATGCAACCGTTCCTAAAGGTGGTGCCAACAGAGACTGCTCTTCCAAGCTGCAGAGCTGTGTAGACACCCATACATCCTCTGAGATATCCTGCAGGGATCTCATACCTCAAGACCCACCATGATTACCAAACACTTAGTCGTTCAACCTAGAAACTAGGGTATTAGCCTCAACTCCTCTCTCCCTTTCACCTCCATGTTTAATCCCCTAGACCTCTCCATTTCACTTCCTAAAGCTGTCTCAAATCTGTCTATCCTTCCCACAGGGTAGCTCCCACAGCTGCCACTCCCATCCTATTTAAGGCCACCATCATTGCTCAACTTCTGCAAAGACCTCCTAAAGCTGGTCTTCCTGCTTGCACTCTCGCCCCCTACAGCCCATTCTTCACATGACAACCAAAGTTACCTTAAAAATAAATCTTTCTGTACTGAAGATTTACCATGTCTTACCATGACCCTCGGAGGCTCGGCCCCTGCCTTGCTTCTCTCATCTTCTCTCACCCTACTCTTCCCAACCCCTCACAATGATCCAGCCAAGCGATCTCTTCTGTTCCTCAAACATGCCTGCCGCAGGGTCTTGGCACTTGTTCTCTCTGCCCAGAATGGCTATTCATCCAACTCTACACATAATTTATTTATTTTTTCATCCTTCAGGCCTCAGCTCACATGTCATCTCACAGAGAAGCCTTTCCCAACCACCCACCCTGGAGAGGCCTCCTCCATCTTCTTGTTTATGTATTTGTTTATTATCTATCTCTCCAATAAGACACCTTATCTGCTTGTTCATTACAATAATTTCAGCACCCGAAACTGCCTCATACACATTTGACACCCAAGAAAGATTTGTTGAGTGGGTGAATAAGTCTGGCCCACAATGCCCTAGGGGGGATCTGCTGCCCCTGTTAGCCCTGCTCAAACTCTAGCCACACAGGCCATTCATGTCTCAAACATAACATGCTTTCTCCCAGGGCATGTACACATGGTGTTCTCTCTCTCTAGTTAATTCAGGGCTCCACTTAAAAGGCCACTTCCTTCCCCGAGCTCCTGAGAAAAGGGGTCTGCATCCTTTATGTTTCTCCAGCAGCCTAATGCCTTCACATTCAGCCTTGTTTCCTTCACATCAGGCCTTGGTAGACTGTAAGCTGCACTAGGACAAGGTCTGTGTGTGTCTCTTGCTTGTTGCTGTAAGCAGGACCTCACCCAGAGTCAGGATCAGCCCAGGCCCTAGTGTTTATTAACTGGTGCTAACTGTGGATACTGGACATGTGCCCAAAGAGGTCACCACCACAGAGCAGCCCAGGCCAAGTACAGAATGAATAGTACAGTCTGGCTGTAAAGAAGTTCGGTATGAGGATGGCCATGGGTGGGGATATGAGGAAGGATAAAGGTAAACAGGGAGAAGCCAGGAGGATTTTCTGGGCATGTGCAAATGCCTTAGGGCAGAATGTACTGGGCATATTTAGGTAAGAAATACATTAGCATCACTGGAGTGAAGAATTCCTAAAAAGGAGGTGGGAGATAAAAGGAAGGCTGAGCTATGTTGTTGAAGTTCCTGAAGGCCTACCTTACTTCTCTGTGCCAGGTCTAAGTTCAATCACCTTTCGTGTCACCATCGGCTGATCCCACAGTATCTTCAATATATCCCAGACTGAAATCATCCTGTGTACTCCCCTGAGTTCCTCATCCTAAAGGTGTTTTTGAGACCTCCCTCTCCTTTCCTCTACACACCTCAATCAATAACAAAAACCAGCCGGGCGCGGTGGCTCATGCCTATAATCCCAGCACTTTGGGAGGCCGAGGCAGGTGGATCACGAGGTCAAGAGATCGAGACCATCCTGGTCAACGAGTGAAACCCCGTCTCTACTAAAAATACAAAAAAAAAAAAATTAGCTGGGCATGGTGGTGCGTGCCTGTAGTCCCAGCTACTCGGGAGGCTGAGGCAGGAGAATTGCTTGAACCCAGGAAGCAGAGGTTGCGGTGAGCCGAGATTGTGCCATTGCACTCCAGTCTGGGTAACAACAGCGAAACTCCATCTCAAAGAAAAAAAAAACAAAAAACCTACTGCTTTTGGCTGGGCACAATGGCTCATGTCTGTAATCCCAGCATTTTGGGAGGTCAAGGCAGGTGGATCACCTAAAGTCAGAAGTTTGAGACCAGCCTGGCCAACATGGTGAAATCCTGTCTCTACTAAAAATAGAAAACAAAAATTAGCCAAGGCATGGTGGCAGGGGCTTGTAGTCCTGGCCACTCAGGAAGCTGAGGCAGGAGAATCGCTTGAACCCGGGAAGAGGAGGTTGCAGTGAGCCAAGATCGAGCCACTGCACTCCAGCCTGGGTGACAGAGCAAGGCACTCTAGAACAAGGCACTGTCTTAAAAAAACAACAACAACAAAAAAACTCTACTGCTTCTAAGTTATTCTCCAGACCACACTCCAGTGTGATCTACTAAAAATATAGGTCTGGTGAATGACTCCCCTTGAGGACTCCTCAAGGTTTACAGGTTAAAGCCCATAAACTTTCCAGCAGCTACTTTGTCCTGTATGATCTGGTCTGTTCACCTCCTGCTGCTCTGCCACCCATGCCTCTGTTCCAGCTTGATCCATGCTTCTGAAGCTTCCGGTAGGTATGTCCAATGCCTTCCTGATCTACCTTCACCTGGTTCATCGCCC